GTCTCTTAGGATCATCCACAGGTACCTATACTGTAGATAGGTCTTAGTCATCAGGTCTACTCCACTTCCTTGTTGCCTGCTTAGACTCTTGGCACTCTTAGGTGAGCAGACTCAGTCAGCCTGTGTTGCCCTAACACACACATAACATGCCTGGTATCATGCGAGATAATGTGATGTTTCTTCTTGAGCCTGAGATACCACATATAATGACACCATTTATCGATGATGGTGGTATCAAAGGCCCTGCTTCATGCTATATCAATGCAGACAGCTCATATGAAGTTATGTCTAATCCCAGCATTCATCGATTTATCTGGGAACACATACAAGACATTAACTGCATTCTTACACATATTGAACATGCCAGTGCTACATTGTCCATTGAAGAGGTCCAAATTGCCATACCAGAAATGATTTTACTGGAGTGGAAATTGCCTTGCAAAAACATATCGGAAGTTTGATTGTTCCTTGGTACTGCCAGTATCATGAGGAATTTTATTTGCAATTATGCCCAACATGCATGACCACTTGAGAACTTGAAAAAGAAGGATGTACCATTCACCTTTGGGGAACTGGAACTTGTGGCTGTACATATGCTGCAAGCAGCAGCCCAAGAAGCAGCTGAGAATAATGTTCTGTGTCCCATCAACTACCACTGCAGCAGATGTGTTATCGTTGACTCCAGTAACATTGCCATGGGGTTTGTCTTGTATCAAATGTATGAACAAGGCCGCCAGCAACCTTCCAGATTTGGATCTATCACATGGAATTAATGCAAATCCCGGTATTCACAGGCAAAGCTGGAATGCTACGGCATTTTTCACACATTGAAAGCATACTGCATCTGGCTCATTGGACTTGATGTATTTACATTGGAGGTTGATGCACAGTACCTCCAAGGCATGCTCCGCAACCCAGACATTCAACCCAACACAACTATTAACTGTTGGCTTGCCTGGATTGTACTTTTTCACTTTGACCTCATCCATATACCAGCAGAAAAACATGTCACACCCAATGGCCTCTCCTGGTGACCTGCAACCACCCACAATCCAGCCAACAAATCCATTCCAGACTTTGATGATGACCTGCTTGGCTTGTCCACCACACCCTGCTTTGCCCTGCAGGTAGCTTCACAACTCCTGTCATACCAGCATGCATCGATGTCTCTGATGAGCCCAGTATCCCAACCACCTGGTTCTCCCCTTACCAATGTGCCTTCTGATTTCACCAACACTCCTCTGCAATCACCATTTACCATGCCACCTGCAAGTCCTCCTTCTAGCCCAGTCTTGCCTTTTGCGACACAGTTACCCCCTACAGATAGCATTGAAATAGATGAACCAATGACAGTAGAAATGATACTGCCAGTTCTACTGCTTTTGCACCCACCAGGAGCCCCTTTGCCATGGCTACCCAAGACTCAAGCCTATGACAAGAAAATTGACCTCATCATTGAATATCACAAGACATTGAAAACACTGCATTTCCCTCTGTCTGCTCTGAAGAAGTTTATTAAATTGGCAACAAACTTCTTTCTTGACAATAATGGTTCCTTATACTGCTGACATCCCATGGGCAAACACAAACTTTACCTACCATTCATCTGGCATGCTGCAGTGCTCTGGTCTGCCCATGAAACACTAGGACATAAAGGTCAACACACCCTCCATGCTCATATATCCCTACACTTTTGGTGGCCATTTTTGAATAACAATGTTGCCTGGTTTGTCTGCACGTGCCATCAGTGTCAGGTCCAACAGACCACTTGCATTATCATACTGCCAGTTGTCCAGGAACCCACACAGCTTTTCAGCAAGGCATACTGCAATTCCATGCTCATGCCAGTGTCTACCACCCCCATAGCAGGATACCGCTATATTGCCCAAGCCCGGTGTTCACTTACACATTACCCAGAATGAACCATGCTTCAAATGGAAACAGGCAAAAACCTTGCAGAATTTCTCTTCAATAGCTTGATTTGCCAGTGGGGTATGCTCACCAAAATCATTACTGACAATGGTATGCTGTGGGTCAAAGCAATGGCTGAATTATCTCCACAGTACAACATCAAACACATTCGCATATCTGGCTACAAATCCCATGCTAATGGCATTGTGGAACAAAGCCACCACACCATCCAAGAAAGCTTAGTCCATCTTTTGGGCACCAAAGTCACAAAGTGGCCAACCCTTGCACCAGCAGTATTTTGGGCAGAGCAAATAACGATACACTCCATTACCGGTTTAAGTCCCTATTTTATGGCTCATGGGACCCACCCATTGATGCCCCTCGATGTTGTGGAATGCACCTTTTTGTCCCCACCAGTCAAAACAACACTCTCTACCACAGAACTCCTCAAACACCACACCTGCCAGCTTTTATGACAAGATACCAACCTAGCCCTCATGCATGAACACATCCTGCATGTGCAAGAAGTCTCAGCTCAAAGATTCCGGGTCAAATACCACTCCCAGATTTGTGATTATGATTTTCAGCCTGGAGCTCTTGTTCTGCTCCAGAATAGCCACAATGATGGAGATCTTCATGATAAAACACAACCTTGGTATTTAGGCCCCTATGTTGTCATCTGCCATAATGAATGCAAATCGTACATGATATCTGAACTTGATGGTAGCATCAGAAGGTATGCCATTGCAGCGTTTTGCCTGCTGCCTTACCACCTCTGCAAGTTGGTCCTCAATTTCCTTGACCCAGCTTTCCAAGCCTTCCTCAATATAGCATACCATGACTGTTTTGGCATTGAGGATGACCCTGCCAACTGGAATACTGCATAATGGTGAACAACAACATACCCCCACAATACCCCAGTATATCCCAACGTGCCAATACCCTTGACTTCTTGCTTTCTCTGATGTCATCCCCAGAGGGGACCACAATTCTGAAGTTCCCTGCAGAGGGAGTCAAACCCTCACTGCCATACATATTACTGAAGTCTATCAATGAAAATCAAGACACCTCTCTCTTTACTACAAGTACCATTTGGACTTACAAAAAGACAAGTCAGATGACCTCTCAATCACACAAATACCAATACTGATACCAGTCTAACTTCAATGAAAACACAAAACACAAAGGTATCATATTGGGCACTTCAAACTACTGCCCTACTGTACTGCCCAGCAGTACAAACCTACCAAAAGTCTACCTATGACTTATGGGGTGGCCTTGTCCGCATCTGTCTCCAACCAACCCTGAATTTGGCCCCTCATCCTCATCAGTCCCAGCTCCCAGCGACTCCTCCTCATATGGAGGCTCTTCCTCATCACTTGACAAGTAGATCAGTTCTGCTGGCACACTGGTACTCCAGCCAGAATGCTATCAAACCCATTAGGCCACCTCATATGCATGAATAACTATACTCACCAGTGCCATTCTGAGTGACTCCTCTGTCAGGGCACCAGCTCATTGCTTGGTCAAGAGACATGACTAAGCCTTTATGACATGGAAGTAGCTGGTATACCTTGGCATGTGCTGGAACCTGCTGGAAGGATTGGATGGTCAGGTGACCTGCTGTGCATGGCTGTGCATGACCTCATATGACCTCATCCTTGGTCATATGACCTGATCACCTGACTAGGCTGAGTAAG